AGAGTATGTATTCCCGTGTTCCAGAGTGCCAGGTCACCACGTACTATTATGTTGGATTTGCATATTTGATGATGCGTCGCTACCAGGATGCCATCCGGGTCTTTGCCAACATCCTCCTCTACATCCAGAGGACCAAGAGTATGTTCCAGAGGACCACATATAAGTATGAGATGGTAAGGGGGACACTTCCTGCCACTAGTGGCCTTTCTACTCAGCTGACTCCTTGGCATCTATGCCAACCATTCTTGGTAAAGACCATCCTAAATACTTCAAGTTTAATTAAGCCAGGAGTTCAAGGCTGTAGAGCACCTAGACAATTGTGCCTACCAATAGATCACCCGCAGTGGCGCAGTCACAGCTCACTTCAGCTCATATCTCCTGGGATCAGGTGATCCTCCCACCTCAGCCCTCCAAGTAGCTGGGGCTACAGCCTCACACAACCACACCAGATAATTTTTCTTTTTTTCTTTTTTTTTTTTTCCAAAGTGATACATATATTTTTGAGACGAATTATCTTTCTGTTGCCCAGGCTGGAGCACAGTGGCGTGATCTCAGCTCACTGTAACCTCCATCTCCTGGGTTCAAGTGATTATCCAGCCTCAGCCTTCTGAGTAGCTGGGACTTGTGGTATCTGTGTATGTATTTGTGGTATCTGTGTATGTAAACAAAAGATACAGTAAAAATACGGTATTATCATCTCGTAGGATCACCTCCCTATATGTGGCCCTTGGCCCGTGGTTGACTAAAACGTTGTTGCGTTGCACATGCACATGTCGGCATCAAGGTTACATCAAACGTTTTGGGTAACTTGATCCTAACTGGTGTAAAAGGATTGACCTGCTACTGATGTGTGGGGCAAACTGGAGAGGCTAAGAGGTACCAGTAAGGAATCCAGAAGATGGCTAAGGAGGATTTGGAGCTAGGATGGAAGTTCAGTAGATCTAGAGGTAGGACTGGAAGAGCTGTTGGGGAAGTTTAGTGGCTGATATGAGACAGCTGAGTAAATCAAAGATCTGCGCAGAGGCTGGTGAGGCCACATTGGCATTGGGGACCTCAGGAAGTCCATCTCTCTTGACCCAGTACCATTCTCCACTCCCAGATTAACAAGCAGAATGAGCAGATGCACGCGCTGCTGGCCATTGCCCTCACCATGTACCCCATGCGTATCGATGAGAGCATTCACCTCCAACTGCGGGAGAAATACGGAGACAAGATGCTGCGCATGCAGAAAGGTGACCCACAGGTCTATGAAGAACTTTTCAGTTACTCCTGCCCCAAGTTTCTGTCGCCAGTAGTGCCCAACTACGATAATGTGCACCCCAACTACCACAAAGAGCCCTTCCTGCAGCAGCTGAAGGTGTTCGCTGATGAAGTACAGCAGCAGGCCCAGCTTTCAACCATCCGCAGCTTCCTCAAGCTCTATACCACCATGCCTGTGGCCAAGCTGGCTGGCTTCCTGGATCTCACAGAGCAGGAGTTCCGGATCCAGCTTCTTGTATTCAAACACAAGATGAAGAACCTGGTGTGGACCAGCGGTATCTCAGCCCTGGATGGTGAATTTCAGTCAGCTTCAGAGGTTGACTTCTACATTGATAAGGTATGCCTGTCCCCTTGATTTGCATCTCGTATTAAGTGTTCACTATCTTTCATTCACTATTCTGGGCACGTGAAATACATTGGGGAATAAAGTCAAAGATTCCTGCCCCTGTGGTATTGCCATTCTACTATTTAAAAAAAAAAAAAAAAAAAAAAAATGCGGAAGATTGGCCAGGTGCAGTGGCTCATGCCTGTAATAACTAGTACTTTAGGGGAGACCTAAGCGGGAGGATCACTTGAGCCCTTGCACCTGCAGGATCACTTAAGCCCAGGAGCTTGAGACCAGCCAGGGCAAGATAGTAAGAGCTTGTCTCTATTTACAAAAAAAAAAAAAAAAGATAAACAGTAGATGTTATAATTAAGCAAAAATATGTAGAGAAAGTGAAGTTTAAGCTAAGACTTCAAGGAAGTGAGGGAGTTCTGTTTCTTGGGGTTTTTTTTTGTTTTGTTTTGTGTTTTTGTTTTGCAGAGTTTTGCTCTGCTGCCCAGGCTAGAGTACTGTGGTGTGATCTCGGCTCACTATAACCTCTACCTCCCAGGTTGAAGTGATTGTCCTGCCTCAGCCTCCTGAGTAGCTGGGATTATAAGCATCTGCCACCATGCCTGGCTTTCTATTTTTAGTAGAGATGGGATTTTGCCATGCTGGCCAGGCTAGTCTCAAACTCCTGACTTAAAGCCATCCAACTGGTGGAAAGAGTTCTTAATAGCTCACCAAAGGCCGGATACAGTGGCTGATGCCTGTAATCCCAGCACTTTGGGAGGCTGAGGTGGGCAGATCATGAGGTCAAGAGATCAAGACCATCCTGGCCAACATGTTGAAACCCTGTCTCTACTAAAAATACAAAAGTTAGCTGGGTAGAATGGCACACACCTGTAGTCCCAGCTACTGGAGAGGCTGAGGCAGGAGAATTGCTTGAACCTGGGAGGCAGAGGTTGTGGTGAGCCGAGGTACTGCCACTGCATTCTAGCCTGGCAACAGAGTAAGACTCCATCTCCAAAAAAAAAAAAAAAGCTCACTAAATAGCTAGGGGAAGAGCCTTCCAGGCAGAGGGACAGTTAGAGCAAAGGCCCTGAAGAGGAGTGAGGTCAGTAAGTTTAAGGGACAGCTGCAGTATTCCCGAGTGGCCTGAAGAAGGAGGCTGTGTAGATGAGGTTGGAGAAAGGGGGATGGTGCTTTGTAGACTGTTGGAGTACTTTACAAGTGGGAAGCCATTGTCCTGGTGTCTTTTTCATTTTTTAATTTTTAGTTAGCAGTAATCACACCTCACATAACCCTCATTCGCCATACTGCCACAGCACCAAGTTTTTTTCTTTCTTTTTTTTTTTTTTAATT